TTTATCATATTGTATTTTAGATGTATAATAGGTGTAGCTATAGGTAATAGTATATACACATATATAGCAGTAAAGATATATATATATATATATATATGTAGAAATCTTGACCGTGGCGGCACAGGAAACGCTTTGTGGCTCGATTGATTCGAACTGATTTAACTCGTGTTTACATCATCGCTATTATTATAAAATAATAATATACTTATTAGTTATTATATTTATAATAATTCAATCTATGAGACGTGCTTAATAGACGTCAAGCACAACCGCGCAATTTCCTAGTTAAATCAGATATTATCTGAAAGCGAATAAAAACGCGTTTCATAGATTTACCTAGTATGTATACACTATACAGATATATAAGTTTTAAATATTGTGTATTAGTTTCTAAATAATATTTTATTTTCGATAATACTTCGTACCAAGTATATAAATTAATTTCTTATTGACGATTATATGGTTATATGGTAGGTATTATAATTATTGATCGTGACTATTATTGAATGGAATTCGTAGTATGTACAAAACATTAGAATTTTATTTAATATTCGTAAACCTATAGTCCCTTGAACAAAAAAAAAAAATGTATAAAAATTAAAAAATGCCTTGTGTACCACCATATTGTCAACAAAAGAAAGAGAGAGAGTTATAAATAATAACATGTTATATAATAATATATACATATCAATGTAAACAATCCACCCTTTTTATCGTTGTCACTCAGAAATGTTTGTCAATATGCTGCAGGTCATCCCTAAGATAAGATTTATTTATTTTTCGTTATTATATGTCTATTCTGCCTATCACAGTAGAAAATCAGAATATAGTGATATATTAGTGTTACATTCTTAGAAAGTAATACCCATAAATTTAACAAATAGTTAAAAAGTACTTAAATTCTGCCACAATAATATATCAGTAAATATTCAATCTAACTTAAAGTGACTTAATTACAATTAGTTCTTTTGCATATTAATTATATAACGCATATAAATGACATTTTTTAATTGTCACGTTAAATAAAATGTTGATATTTAAAAAATGTTAAACAAAAAATGTTGATCAGTTATCTATATCTATTACCTATTCATATTTCATATATATATAAATTCATAAATAATAATGACGAGCTATTAAAAAATGATTACTAATCGCAGTACTTTTTCTAACGTAGCACAATAACATAATAGACGGATAGATCGAAGATTCATTAAAAAAAAAATTTTGTTTTAGAATAATTAATATAATAGATATAGATATAGGTACCGTAATAATAATGAATATTATAGTTTTAATAAAGGACGCACGTTTGTTTTTGTTTAATAAACGTCATTGAACGTTTAAAGCTAATTAATGCACTGTTGTCGTTTTTGAATCGAACTTGACCTATCAGCAACTATAAGAATTAAAAGTTTAGATGAGCGGTGTGGAGTGGCACTGGCCGAGTATAGACCACGCGGAATGTTAAGCCATTGCTCTGCTCGTCTAAATACTAAACTACACTAATGACTTACATTATTACATACTAATTCAAAATACGATTTTTTTTACGTAGACATTTTTAGAAAAATTAAAAATGTTTAGTGATATTAGAAAAGTTGAAAGTCATGACGATAGACAAGACTATAATAGACAAAATAGATATTTCACGAGACGTTAAAACTATATTCGAGAAATACGTCGAAGAGTATATCGTTTCAAAAGTCCCAGTGTAATACACTATACCTACATATCGATTGTTCGACAAATAACGACAAATAAAATTACTCGCACGTTCGCGTAATTCGTTAATCCCGTCTCCCCGCGCGTAATACAATATTTTACGTATACAATACGAAACGCACGTCAAACGAAGGCGTGTACCGCCATTAAATGCATACCTCTAGTCTCGGAGTTTCGACGTTCTATACGTTATAAGTTATAATACATTACATATATATTATATATAAATATATAATTATTAATTACCCATAAGTATTTCGTACTCACAGCAATTTATTAGATTATCTTTCTCCGTTCTCCGACACGCGTGTACCGCGCCGGCGCGGCCGACTTGTCAATAATATAATATTATAATATTATTATATCGTCGTGCTGGGTATGACGAGATATTATAAATACATCTATGGTCCTGTACTCGGACCGCGAGAGGGGAACGATAGACGAAAAAAATTGAACACATAACAATATCGGGGAATGCGACTCGCGCCGTGTACAAGGAATCTGATACAAAAAAAAAAAAAAAAAAATAATGAATCCGACGATGATGATAATAATAATAAAATTATCGAGAGAGGCTTATTGTTGTCGGCGGCGACCACGAAGACGACGGAATGAAGCGAGGGCGTTTGTGAGGATAACTCCTCGCCGAACCGTTTCCTCGATAATATGACTTGTGTATGTGTGTGTGTGTGTGTGTGCGTAATTGTCGTCCACGTCTGCCGTTACACACTATAGGTACTATGTTATTACTTATTACCATAGGGTTCGGATTTGAAGACAAAAGCCTTTTTTTTAATAATTATAATAAAACAATAATTTTCATATAAAAATGTGTTTCCTCAAAATATATCCAAGACGGTGGATGTATTTTTTTTTGCCTTTTTGCCTTTTTTTACTCATAAATGTATTTTTGCTCGAAACCGACGCGAGTTTGCGTAAATCTACGTGCGCGCTCGCGCGAGTGTATTGCGTGTGCGGCTCGAGCCCCAAAACCTGTTGAGGAGGACGACCGAGCGGCGAGTCGTCGACGAGAGAAGAGACTGGGCGACGGCGCGACGATGCCGTGGGAACCGGTCGCCGGTCGGATCCCCATTGTGTACGTCGTCTCGTTCCTCTAATACACAAGCCCATACACACACACACACACACACACAGGGTGATCGGAATGTGCGCGTACTGTTATTATATAATAATATTATTGTATTACGTACGCGCGTCGTTTACCGTCTAGTCTTACAGGTATATATTACGCTACATTGCGCGCGTTATCATGATAATAATAATATTATTATGCCGTCTGTTATGACATTGTGCACGCGCGCGGCACGAAATGTTTGCGAGCGATCATAATATTATCATCGTACGCGACGTATGCGCCGGAGTAATCTCGCGACGAGTTCGGGACGAGTCGGCGGTACCTATTGTTTTCCTCCGTTTTCCTCATTTATAAATTATAAATAATAATAATATGACGTGCGTTGCGCGCGAGGTTCGGTTTTTTTTTTTTTTTTTTGTCGACCAACCGTCGTCGTATTGCACGCAATACACACGACATTACGACTTCAATACTCAGCAAAAGACCGATGGATAAATATCATTGTGATACGCAAACGCGCACGTATTATTATAATGCGCGCGCGGTACGCGAAGAGATCTTTCGGGCGGGCCGGATAATCGCGTTGTAAAGCTCCGCTCGACGCGTACGCCGACGGAAATCGGACGACACCGCTCGTCGTACCCACCAACAGCTCGTCTACTATTTTTACGCGCACATTGTAGTGCGATGTGTACCTATATATTTTTATGCTCGTGTGCGACACGTCAGAACGGCTTGGATGTTGGGCAATACACCGCCTTGAGCGATGGTAACACCGAACAACAATTTGTTCAACCACTCGTCATTTCTGATGGCCAATTGCAAATGTCTGGGGATGATACGCGATTTCTTGTTGTCACGAGCTGCGTTACCGACCAATTCTAAAACTTCAACTTCCAAATATTCCATGACGGCAACCAAGTATACGGGGGCTCCGGCTCCAACACGTTCGGCTTAGTTTCCTTTCCTCGACTGACGATGGATACGACCGACCGGGAACTGCAGTCCGGCACGGGACGACCTGGTCTTCGATTTGCCTCCCTTCAATTTTCCTGCTTTATCGCGTCCACTCATTATTGTTCGTTATTTCGAGAGAGAATATACGTGCTGTTTTAGTAATAACTGATCCACTATAAACACGTCCCTTCTTACAGTCTAACACCAACTAATTAAATCATTCACCACATCTCACTCAACTCGTCATAGGCAAACACCTGGCACGAATGTATAGACACTACATCGCCGTCGTACAAGCAATGCAATGCAAATGCGACACGTCAACGGCAATACTAGATATAGTAGATATTATATATCGTGTGGGTGACCCACCGCAGTGATGCCGCCGAGTGTCGTTATAATTGAAACGCCCCGCACCAATCGCCGACGACGCGAAAACGTGTAACTGTTCATGCGTCGTACCTACTCGTGTATTAAATGAGTACGTAAATGCCACCGAAAAGTCTTTATGCCCCCTGTCATTCCGTTTAAATCGCCCAGTGTGTATTCGTGTCTCGATGATCTCGAACGTGGGGTATACTTACGTGTCGTATGAGTGCCTATAAAGTTTTAACCCTCCCTGCTTCATCTCCTCAAATGTTCTGATTACTGTATTAAAAAAGTTTTTGCAACAAAATATTAACACTTGACTACGAATTTACATTTTATTTTGATAAAATTGTATTAATAACAAAAATATATATCATAAACTGCTATATTTAGAAGGATATTTTATAGTGGACAAATATTAGGAAAATAAAACTATCTTACTGACCTATATAGAATATTATTATACTGCATATTTATTTCCAATAAATAATATTTATAAAACATAATATTATATTGCATTAAATGAGTTTTATTACGTTTTTGTTTCAAACCAAATTCTTCTTTGAAAGTATAATAATTTTTGAAATTTAAATACCAAATTTACTTTTTAAATTAGGCGCTTTGAATTTAAATATTAGATGTTCCTATTGCTTTAATAAAACACTAAATATTATAATACAGGTACATATATTATAATTGAGCAACATTAAATAATTATGCAAAAATGATTAATATTCTCGATTATTAAAATTTTAACGCATAAATATTGATTTACGATTCGACTACAGTGTTTAACATTAATAAACGCAAAAATAAAATTTAAATACAAAGCACGGTCGTCTATCATGTACTACAGTATTCAAATTGCATGTATTTCAGTTCACAAAGTAAGAAATAAAATATAGTTTTGCCTATATGATGTGTAATTATTTATTAATTTTTTTTTCTTAAGTAAAATATATATAGGTATAGAGTAAGTAGACTACATTACTCGATGATGAATAAGAAATAATTTAATAATACTGTTATTTTAAAACTGCATAATACAAATTCACACTATACAGAAATCATATTTTACTCAATGTTTGAATATCTAATTTTCATATTATATTATAACATTAAAGTGCACGTCCGTTAGTCGGTATTAATAAAAATTTCAAAGACTCTTACACTCATATACGTATATGTATATTATCATACATCAATTTTAAACATTGACGTAACTATGAATCATTGTAATGACCGGGGTAAATAACTCCAAAGAAATGAATACATGACTTATCATTCCATAATAATATTACATACTCAACTACTCTATAGAACCCGTTTTTTTGTTTATTGTAGACACCCTTTATTATGCTGATGATTGACATTTAAAAGATAGTCTTTTTATTTTTCATCGATGAGTACAATACTGTTACATTATCCAGCGAGGAATATTATTTACTATATTGGTCGAAAATCCAGTAGATATACAACTTTATTATAGTTTATGTAGAATTGAATTTAAATACCTATATAGCGTTTATACCTACAATTGTATTATCCATTTTATTGTTACTAATTAGATTTCAAGTGTATTATAACGTAATGATAGACGAATATTAGTTGTCCAATAAATGGCTTAATCACTATATATTATGCTCGGGTATAACGGACTGGTTTATTTATAACAACGCAACTTGATATAGTTGTCAAACCACTTAATATTATGAAATGCTTTCGTGTTATATTATGCGATTTGTGGGTTTACAAATTTCCAAAGAAAGTTCATTTTATGATAACTGTTAACAATTCATATTATTATTATTAAAAATTTATGCCTGCTGAGTGCTGATTGTCGATAATCAATTAATATATACGATTTATAATAAAATGTAATCATGGACTTAATGGTTTTCTGTTTTGTATTTTTCAGGCTGTAAAAGTTTTTTCAAAAGGAGCGTTCGCCGGAATCTCACGTATTCGTGCAGGGGTAGCCGGAACTGTCCCATCGACCAACATCACCGGAACCAATGTCAGTACTGTCGGCTGAAAAAGTGTCTGAAAATGGGCATGCGCAGAGAAGGTAGGAAAAAATAAAATTATAAATTACCGTCCCACGACGGTAATAATTATTATGTTATAAAGTATAGTATGATAATAATAATAATAATGAGCTAGAGAGGGAAAAGTGGAAACAAAGAGTAAGACAGTCAGAGTGGAGGACGGGGTCCACCCAAGAGATACGAGTAACGTGAATAGCAATTATAATAGAGATCCGACCGTCGATATAAAGACACACCGTGTCAAATCAGCGGTCTATTGGTCGTCGTCGTCGTCGTCGTCTTCTTCGTCGTGTATGGGTTTCAATCAAATAGTCTCGTTGAATAATAACACAACGTGAGAACTAAAACATAATATATATAGGTAATGACATAGCAGTGAAATGCGCGTATAATCGACTGCTATATCGCGTGTAAAATTTTGTAGGAATAAAAATAACGTATCTATATTTAATAAATTATATTATATAATGAGAATCTATACAGAGAAAATTTTAATATATATAAACTCCCAAGGCCAAGGACAAAGCGGTCATCGCTGCATTTCGGTGGTGAGTCTACGCATCGGGTTCCGTTGAGGTGATGCAGGATTATATTTTTACCAATGAGGCCTGTCATACGCGTACATGTAAAATAATATTATACTAATATCATAGTATTGAAGTGTATAATTGCACCTACCTTTATATACATGTGTATATTATATATATATTTACATAAACTGTATCATTTTGAAAAGGATCCCGTGCATAATATTATAGCATACAAAAGTTTTTAACGAGTCATCTCACATCACACACAATTTTTTTTTCCTCCCCTCTACGCTGCAACCACCACGCCACAAAACATAATCGTCCAACTATAGATGCTACATCACACATAACGTATATTGTATGATTTCACGGATTCTCGAAGGAACGGGGCGAAAAAAAAACGTGCCTATACGCATTATAGACGAGATTTGTTTTTTTAACGCATATACACATCACAGCATCATCTCCACCGCCGCCATTGGCCGCCACCAATAACTGATGTAGCCACACCGTCCGCCACGGTCTACTGGGACCCGTACACGCCGGTCGAGGGCAATATCCGTGAAATCGTCCTGTTCGAGAAGGTCAGCTACGGAGTTTGTGCGTTAACGAGGGAAGAAGTGGCCGCGACTAAACGTGCCCGACGCCCGCCTCATTCACTAATCAATGTGTCTATATATATATATATTACACTTCTCCTCCCCGTCGGATGAGTTTAACCGTCGCCTCGAGCCTATCTGAACCATATGATACCGTAATAGTACCTATATATAATATTATATCCTCTATAATAAGTTTTACTCTTTTTCCCTCACCCCGCGGACACGTTCTAAAGAAAACACGAAAAATCGTGAATCGATATATTTTATATAAAATGAGTTCGTAATTTTATTTTTTGGAATGCTATAGGGCGTACTACACGAGACGTCTCAATTATAATCACAATATTCTAGACGTCACCGTATTCATTTATGCGTCGTGCTAATCACCGTTAATACCTTTTTCCCCTTGAAATTTTGACCGCCACAATACCACAAGTATATTTCAAATAAATTACTATATACTGGTAGATAGATGTGGGTAGGCACGAAGTTATAAGCGTCGTGTTTTTGCGTATCCACTGTACATGTATATATAGACGTCGTCGACAGTCGGCGAAACGTGCACACGCGGCGTTCGAAGACCAACTCTCTGGGAAAAGTTCCTATGGGTATAGCATTAATACAAGTATAGGAATCAAAAGACGATAATAGATGCGCGTATTTTACATTCATATAGGCATAATATATACGAACACGTATACCATGGCGGATACCACAAATAATCATTTATTAATTTTTTTCCTCCTCACCGCCGGCACAATATATCGTCGTCTGACGCACACGATAGAGTTTACCGATGGTAGGTACCTATGTACAAGTATAAATGTAGGTCCAATACAGGTGGAATACGTATAAACGGTATAATAATGTTATGGTACGGCCGTTTCTCCTTATCCGCTTTCCAAGCACGACCGTCGCGCGCGTCTTCACCGTGAAACCAATTACTGCAGTGATGTGCATTACACACACACACACACAAACACATTTCTCTATAATATATTATATTATTATAATTATAATATTGTAAGTGTATTCTTGAGTAGATGTATAAAATATACTTACGTACGAGTATTCTTTCGAGAGCGAAAACAAACGGCGACACAGACCGCGATTTGTGAAAACTCTGTATCTATACGATTTTTAAATTATATACATATTCGTAAATATATATATATATATATATACAATCCGTTAATTGCTTGAGTCACGCATACACACTCGCGTATATAATATAATATAAATATTATATTACGCGTGTTATACGTACACACATATTATACACCACACACTTACGCGAGCGCTCAATAGTAATGTCGCCGTCGGCTATATCTAATCTGTCTTGCGGTCTCCGCCGACTATGTATACCTATTGGTATAACCTACCTATACATATTGTGAACTTTTACTCGATTCGCACGGGGCCGCGGTCTCGCTCTCCCTCGGGCATCAGTCGCCCCCGCGGTCGATCTTACTCCTACACGACCCGCCGTCGCGGTGTACCTTACTGGCTTCTGTGTAATATACCTACCTATAGCCATGTCCATAATAAATAATAGCGTGTACGAGCCAATAATCTACACACATACACACAAACACACACGAAAGATATTTTATACGCGGTATACATTACCTACTATATTATATACACAATATTTCTACGCTAACACACACACACATTGTATATCGGAATCGAATTATCTGTAAATCGTATACCTACACGTGGCGAGAAGGAGAAAAGTAACGCGATAGGTGTTATGTATATCGACGACGAGCGGTGGACAAAGCGAATATTATGATATCAATATAATATATGCAATTTTTTTTCATCTCGTTTTTACGTGTGCTATATACTATATAATATATATATATATATGTATTATATATTATGCGTTTTAACCTAACCTCTCGCCGACTCATTTGAATCTCTCGCGCGGTATCTCCGGAGTATTATTATATTACTTTTTGTTTTATTTTATTTTTTTTTCCAACGGTCGTGACAGAAAAACCGTATTGCGTCACCGTCCGACCGACCCACCGCCACAACTCTACGGCGTATTTGTCGGATGAATCGTTTATCGTGCAACCGTATCTCACTCTATCTACTTGTGAGTTGTGTGTGTGTGTCTGTGTCTATATATAAAAAATTATTAATATATATATATATATTTCGTAGTGCATGCACAAGGTATAGCTAGCTAAAAAGCGACCGGCGGCTGCGGACTTCGAGTATTGCGTATTATTATATTTATTATTACTACTACTATATGACTATTGTACATGGCGTTGAGCAACCATCGAACTCCAGTTTACTACTCGGCCAATATGTTATATATTATATAGATACATGTGTAATTTACTAATGCGTGGGCGATATTTCGTTTATACCGTTACTAGGCATACGATTTCTACAACACTGGTCTGCGCGCGATTCTAGTTTTATAAACTCGGTCAAAAAAACAGTTACATATTATTATATTATATCTTATTAAACACTTGTTTTTTTCATTCCCCATCTCGCTTTATACCTATGTAATAATTATTATTGTAATATATTCTTATTCCTACTGTAAACTGTGTTTCTACACTCAAACACTGTACATAGGTATATAACTATATATCTTTGTGTCGCGGTCGGCCGTCTGCCAATTGGTCCGTCTTATATGATTTCACGATATCGGCGTGGGCGCGAATGAAGTGCTATCGCGTTTACGAGATCGTAAAAATAAAAAAACGTAAATATACAGTCGCGAACTATTTTTTAAATTATTTATGAAACGATATTTATGTGCGATGGAACAACGTGTCAACTCAATCAAAATTCAAATCTTGCGTAATTGCGACAGCATATATATTTCACTTTTATATAGCGATAACTACAGTTATGTAATATTATTCGAAATAATCTGTCGCAGTACTCTGCACGTTGTAGTTATACATATTGGTAAATCTGTGTTATTTTAATACTAAATCATTATACGCTGCAGCGAGTGACTTTAGCTGAATTATATTACTCGTACAGTGATAGTATGATGCTATAGAGAGTAATAAAATAATAATATAATAAATAATATAATAATCGTAATGATACAATATTAAAATTGTTTAAAAATGCGCAATTGGCGAAGACAACACGAAGTGGATCTGATGTGTTTCACAATCTCTATAAAAATAATTATATGTTCGTAGGAGTAATAATGTTTTGTTATTTTTCAATTTATCGACTATGAGAGCGCAATATAATTTCGCAACCGTAGCAAGTTTGTATACCTACCTATATTAGTGTGAGGTGCGTGCGATGCAATGTACATAAATTCCGTACGCGGAAGAAATTTTAAAATAAAAAAACGCCGCGTAAAGCACTAAAGCCCGGGGCGATCAGGCAATATACGACCTCGTCCTAGGTGCGCGGAGACAATATTATTACATATTATTATATACATTTTTACGATACTTGAATGTCTTGAATATTCTATTATGTCTTTGAATGTATATGAGTATCATCGTACACTATCACAGTAATCCTCACGTTTAAGATTTAAATTTATCGATGACAACGCGTTTGTTTGCCGTTTGGTTTCTGATCAACGATATTTTATGGCGTCACGTCTTGTTAGTGTTGTTAGGTGTTACAATCTTAATAAGCAACCCGACAGTCATATTTATTCGAAAAAGACGCGTTATCATATCTCGTGGTTTTCGTTAGCGCCACTCCGTGTATACTTACAATAATAATGATAATAATCAACGGTAATACGACTGCGGGATCCAAAAAGACTTTTATCTCGTGCAAAGAAGATAATACCCCCGAAAAGTGGTGCGCTCTTCCTAATTCCGGTTCATTAGGCCCTCGTTCTGTGGCGAACGATAACAAATCCGCGCGTTTTATACG